ACCATAGTCTTGAGTTGGTTAAGAACTATGTCTATAAATCTCCCCACTTTCATCGGCAATCGTGTGGCGGAGATTCAGAGTTGTCCACAAATCAGGGAGTGGCGCTATGTTCCCACAGGAGATAATCCAGCGGATATCGCCTTGCGAGGAATTCTGGGGTCCGAGCTGAAACAGTCTTCCATCTGGTGGACAGGACCTACCTGGTTATCAGCAGAATCAACAGAATGGCCTAGAATGCCTCCTGTGTTTGAGCACCAAGGTCAAATTGAGCTCCTGAGTGTTCATGCCCTCAGTGAAACACCTTTCTTTGTGGCTATCGGAGAGATGAGCTCAACCTTTAATGGGTATATACGAAAGGTGGCCTGGATATTGCGTTTTTGCCATAACTGCCGCTACAGTGCGGAGCGATATCAGTCGCACTTAACCACAGCCGAACTGAGAAATGCTCATAGGAGAATACTTTAAGCAATTCAGTACCAGCATTTCAGGGAAGAAATAAGAAGTTTGACCACTTTAGGATCAGTGAAGCGCACGGGCAAGATTTATGGTTTAACACCGTTCCTCGACGATCAAGGAATCCTTAGAGTCGGCAGTAGATTAAAATGGGCTCCATCTATGACATATGAACAAAAACATTCTGCGCTATTGCCTTCATCAGGAAAGGTGGCTCAGATGATTGTTCAAGCAGTTCATATGCGGACTTTGCACGGAAGTGTGCACCTGATGCTGTCCACATTAAGACAGAAGTATTGGATGCTGAGAGCAAAAGATCAGGTGAAGAGATGCATTCGAGAGTGCGTAACATGCTGTCGATACAATCGCGTCACTCAAGGCCAGCTAATGAGCGATTTACCCAAGGAGAGATTAACACCGGGTAAACCCTTTTCAATCAGTGGTGTAGATTATGCTGGACCTGTGAACCTTCGATTGTCCAAGGGTAGAGGCCGAAAGACTGAAAAGGGCTACATCTGTCTATTTATGTGCTTTGTGACCCGAACAGTACATCTTGAATTGGTCACAGATGCCTCTACGCCCACCTTCATGTCGGCCTTTAAGCGATTTGTAGCACGAAGAGGACATTGCACTCGGCTATATAGCGATCAAGGAACAAATTTTGTGGGAGCTGCACGACAGTTACGTTCATGTTTCTATCTGGCTCAAAATCAATTAAAAGAACTAGCTGCCGTGTTAGCTAATGATGGAACTGAGTGGAAGTTCAACCCTCCAGGAGCCACCCATTTCGGTGGTCTTTGGGAAGCTGGGGTCAAGGCTTTGAAGTATCATATGAGGCGAATTATTGGGAGCAATTTGTTGACATATGAAGAACTGCTGACCGTTCTAGTTCAAATCGAGTCTTGTTTGAATTCGAGACCTTTGTACCCAATGAGTAATGATCCTAATGATCAAGGGGTATTAACTCCCGCCCATTTCTTGCTGACTGAACCATCCTCTTGTGTCCCGGAAGATGACCTATTATTGGTAAAGAATCATCTCCTAACAAGATGGCAGTTGGTTCAGAGGGTCTTGCAACATCTGTGGAAAAGATGGTCAAGGGACTACTTGAATTACTTGCAACAGCGCAATAAGTGGAAGGCCATCTCTCCCAATGTCGACATCAATACGTTAGTATTGATAAAAGAGGAAAGAATGCCCCCTGCAAAGTGGCTTATGGGCAGAGTGGTGAAGACACATCCTGGGAAGGACGGCCTGGTGCGGGTTGTTTCGGTGCGGACATCGGTTGGAGTGCTCCGAAGACCCTTGGTGAAGCTGGTGCTGCTTCCGGTGGCCCCTCCGGAACTTGATGTGACCCATCAACTCGGGGAGGAATGTTAGAGTTTATTTTTATTATTTTTAATATTACTCTGTGTAAATGTTTCTATTATATTCGACCAGGAGTGCCTGGTCACGTGTGTGTATTTTATTGTATATATAGTGTGGTTGGAAATAAAATAAGAGTTGAGTTGAGCTTTTGTGAGACTAGTGCTTTCACATAGTTTAGAGTTTGGAAAGCCCGCTTCATTTCAAGAGAAGACCTCTGCGCTGACTATACCTCTAGGTTGAAGAGTGAGCATAAGAAAAACAGCCAGAAGAAGTTTGGCGAACATCAGCCCAGCAGGAATTCTCCAGCTCCATCATTTGCTGGACGATGGAGGTCACCCGGCCGAAGGTCTTGAGCGCCGCGATAAGGTCGGCGTCCGTTACAAAGAACGGCACGTTGCCCACGGCGATCCGCTCAGCCTTCTTCATTAGAGGAAAGGCTCGCAGAGTGGCCTCTTCAATGTCCAGACACTCCTTGATGAGCCTCTCTGCGAGCTGCACGCTGGAGAGGCCGACTAGGATGTGCCCCTCCATCTTGCTCAGCTGGTACACGCAGCCTTTTCCCAGCTTCGCCTCTAGCGCCATGAAGTACTGCGCCTGGCTGAATTCTGGCGAGAATTCCAGGTAGACACATTGGTCTACCTGACCGGCCGCCGACTTGGCTCTGAAGTCCGCCTGTTTGTGCAGAGTTTTTGCGCACCTCTGCACTCGGGGCTTGTTCGCAGGGGGTGGAGCAGTAGGCTTGGTGGCAGCAGGCTGGACGCGGCCTCTTTTTCTCTGCCGTTCTGCCGCCGTTTCAGCTGGCCTCTTGCGCTCATGGTTGACGAGGATGAAGCCATCATCTTGCTCCTCCATCGGGAGTTGTTTGCCTTGCTCGACGAGGTCAGCCCAGCTCGTCGAAGGTTTGTCTGTGGCGTGGTTAGAGTCATGCGGCCTCTTCTTGGAGCCGCCCACTTTGGTGAAGCCCAGATCTTGTCTCTCGATAAGCTGGTCTTTTTGTTCCGGGCAATCAGCCCTATTGCGGCAAGAATTTGCATGTCCGCCGTCCGTCGCCGGCTTAGTATTTGCATGCTTGTCATTTTTTGAATATGAATGACTTTCAGGCATTTCAGATTCAATTGGTGATTTCTTGGCCAAATTTGTCGAGGTTAGCATGGGCTTGCAGCCCATTCTCTTGGCTTTCAACCAGTACCTCAAAGGGGTTATTTAACCCCACATTCTCCATCTCAGGCCCAAACAAACGCGGAGCTCGCGCGCCGCATGGCCGCACGGCCGTGAGAGAGAGATACCCGATATCATTTATTAACATAAACATAACCTAATCTTCATCGCACCCCCATATTCCATATTCTTCTGTCTCCAATTCCATGATAAAAATATCTTAAAATTTAACATCGCACAGTTTTTTCTAATTCCCCCAACCTGAGCACAAAACTCGGGAATATTTTAACAACACCATTTCCGACTCCTTATCCAAAACCAACGCCGTTTACCCAGTTAACTGCTCTCAATACAACACTGTTTATTAAGAAAAGAAAAAAAAAACATCTCCTCATCGTGCAACTAAAGTTGCTGATAGCTTACGCCATCTATCGGAATAAATATCAACTAATCGTTGCTTTTTCATTTATTCCAGAATTGGCCAAATACCCATTCTTGATTAATCAAGCAAAGATAACCATGTACGCGATTCAGGCTGTTGGCTCTCGTCGGTGTGGTGCAAACTGTACCTCAACGACCAAAAACCTGGTCATTCAGGCATCCTGAAAAATCACGAAACGGATAGTCAAGGCCAGAATTGCGTGAGAACGCAACACTGTTTATGTAGGTATGACCAGTCGTACAATAGGCATCCGTTTAACCGATCATCAAAGATATTTCAGAAACCGCAACATTAGACAAATCTTCACACAATCTTCAAACAAATCTTCCAACCTATTAATTCCACTGGAAGCTCATTTTTTAACTTTTCCCAAGCCACCATACATAAATATCAGAAACAAACACCCCAACACTTAATATTAGAAACAATAGAATATAAACAACTTAATAGCATTAATAGAAGCATTAAACTGCCAGACCAATATTAAACTCGTTCATTGTTTAATACATAGCTCTCTCTTTTTGTTCACATTGTTATGTTATTTATAAATCAAAATATATAGTTGCTCTTGTTCAATATCCTACTCCATAGTTTATTTTCTGTGAATTAGATTTGCATATATATACTTCTACATATTCAAATAGATATTTTTCGTCGTTCATATTTCTTTTGATGCAAATATTTCAATATACATGTATCCGAGGATAGGTTTCTTATTTTATTAAATGTTCTCTCAAGCTTTCGTGAACTGTGTGTGAACCCTTCTACAGGACAACACAATTTCGTTATATAGTCCAGTAGAAGGATTCACAGTACCGAGAGCTTGAGAGAACATTTGAAGATATTGAACATTAAAAAACCTATCCTTATATATACGGGGTTGACTTTTCTTGATTTATTAAAAAATTGGATTGGCCATATATCACAGAAAAAGTTAAATAAACATTTAGTTTATTTTTGTTCTACTAGATGGCGCTCTGCCATCTAGAAATTATCATGTGAGCATGGTCAGGATTCGCCTTTTTTATTTTTAATATATATATGCTATTGTTATGTGTACTCTTCTACCTAATATTCAATAATCATAGGTAGTGTAGTTTCTATTAAAAGAGATTGTATGCTACTGTTAAATATTTGTATAATATTTTATTATTACACAACAACAACCAAGTCCTTGGTCAAAATCATATATACATATTATATATTAGAGTTATGATAAATATTTTGTCTGCTTACTGTTATATTAAAATTTGATATTAGAATAAATTATTGATTGCGTGTTTTGAGGACACACACACATATTGTGGTAATGTTATTGCAGTCGTAGAAATCTTACAAAATATAATAAAGAAACTTCATATCACAATTTGATTTAATTGTGCTACTGAAACATTTTAACAAGAAATACCTGATTTGAGACGTAAAGAAGAAAATAAACTAAAAACTTAAAAATACGTATTCACATAATTACAAAATATTGGATCCGGCCAAAGTAAAAGAGAGAATATGGTTTTACGGGCTACTAACCAAAGTGTAGGAATTTTGAGACTGATGTAGAAATAATTAGAAAAAAAAAAGATGTCGAAAGCGGGTTCGAACCAGGGACACTAAATTCTCATTCTAAAGCTTTCGCAGCTGAGCTATTTCGCCTTGAAATAAATGCCGAAACCCGGGATCGAACCAGGGACCTTTAGATCTTCAGTCTAACACTCTCCCAACTGATCTATTTGTGCTTGCCAACGTAGAACAACAACAATGGGTTTATATAGGGAAAGCCGCGACATCTGGCGGTCGTCTTTACAGAGTAGTTTGTGTGTGTGAGCTAGAGAAAATATAATATTAAATTGAATAATTTTTATATGATATATATATATAAAGAGACAAGGGTCGCCTTTCCCGTCAAAATATACGTCAAAACTAGACGCCATCTATTGACCGTCGCCGCAAACTAGCGGCCTCGGGTCGGTGACAAAGCCACAACACCAGATTTCGACCAGCAGTCACCGACCCGAGGCCGCTTGTTTGCGGCGACGGTCAATAGATGGCGTCTAGTTTTGATGTCTATTTTGACGGGAGAGGCGACCCTTGTCTCTTTAGATCAATATCCTCCCGGCAAATTTTTCATCTATATATATAGAATGCGTCAGGTTTTGACGTGTAAGGCGCCCTTTGCTTTCATATATATTTAATTAAAAAGGCATATATTGGATCATAATATCATTTATTTTACCAATATTTCTGTTGGCTGAACGCCAACCTTTATCAAGGTATCATAACATTAATAAACACATTAATATGTTATAATACCTTGATAAAGGTTGGCGTTCAGCCAACTGAAATATTGGTAAAATAAATGATATTTTGATCCAATATATGCCTTTTTAATCAAAGATTTATTTAGATTGCTCTCTTTTTAATCTATATATATATAATTGAATGTCTGTCTGTCTGTCTGTACTCTATAGATTCAAAAACCATACATCCAATCGCCGTGAAATTTTGGGATATTATTAGCTATATCCCCAGGAAGGTTTTTGAAAAATAATTTCTTGAATATCTTGAATATCCTTAGAGTTGTTTGCAGATTTGTAGATTTAACTCGAAAGCAGCGCCCCCATTGTGACGATAATAACAAGTTTTTATCTATAAGTTTTAATATCACTATAAGTTTATTATCTTAAATATTATTTATCAAAAGTAAGATTTTCTACCTATTAATTTCGCACAAGTCAAAGTTAGTTTTATCATTTATCTACAACATATATATTGGGAGAATAGATAAAATGATGATTTTGTAATGTAGAAAATTCAGGATCACACGGCAATTTATTTGAGACAAGAATAATGATACAATTCCAAGGCAAAGATAGTATTCCTTTAACTTTCAATTACCGAGGGAACCAATTAATATTGATTTTATTCAACATATCGAGTATTTTTCAAGGGACCGGGAAAAAATGTTCACTTTATCGAGAGATTCAAATTTACGAGTTTCAAATTATCAAAATATATCTTTTTTTTATACGTTTATAGAGAATTGTTTTAACAAATGTTCGTTAGACAAACCTTTACTCGGGTAAAACACGGGCGAAGCCGGGTACATCCGCTATTATATATATATATATATAATATTATTATTCTCTTACGCGTACGATCTTATTTTTAACCCTGTTGACGGGAAGAAATGTTCGAAAGCTGGCATTCGAGTAAAAAAAAAAATCTTACGAGAAACTTTTCACGATTTTGTTTTTCTTTTGATAATATTGTCACGTGGAAAATTAGTAGAAACAAACTTCAGGATGACACAGCAATTTATTTAAGACACAAACTGAAATGTTTAAAATAGAAAAGAATGAGAGAAGTTTACAGATATGATACAAAATATCAAAATTAATAATCTGTTTATAAAATAATACATATTACGCCAGGTGGTTATTCAATTTATTATAATACATTTTTATAGTGCATATTTACATGCATTTAAATATACACATCCATTTAAATATGTATTTTGTATTATCAATACAAAACGTAGAGTTGGTGATAACGAAAGAGCCAAAACATCAGTTTTGTTATTTAAAAAAAGGCCATCCTGAATATCAAGTTTTCGGGCGTTGGCTTTCGTCAATACAGGGGCTGCTTCGATTTCATAACATTCTACAAGGGGAGTTTAGGGAACTTCTATCAATAAAAACACACACAAAGAAATACTTGTACGCCTCAGTGATTCAATACGAAGGAACCAGCTCTTTCAGTCACAATAATGGAAGTTGCTTAATGAAAACGCCTCTGCCCATAAAGCCACCTCGGTTATGGATTATTTAGCTAAGCACTCTGTGACTGTTTTATCACATCCTCCTTATTTCCCAGACCTTTCTTCCTGTGATTTCTTCTATTTTCTCAAGCTCAAACTTGCGTTAAAAGAAAGACGTTTTTTGTTATCTAAAGAAGCTATTGAAAATGCGACTGCTGAAATAAACAAGCTCAGGAAATTTGACTTTGAAATCACTTTTTAACATATTTTTGTTTGCTGGAAAAAATGTGTAGATAATGGAGGCAGATAGTTAGTTTTGGCAGATAACAGACCTCGGGACTTGTTCACAGGGTCTCACGGATCCATGTTCTCAGGGATAGTTCAAGAAAGATCCTGGTCCAATGCCCCTATTTATAAGCTGTGGCAGATCCCGGAACTCGGAAATTTGATAAGGTAATTGCGAATTTTTGTCCTTTAGACTAGCTTGAAGGGTCTTACGGATTAAATTACTAAATCGTAAAGATAGAGGCTGCCTGGTCGGTGGCATTCATAGCTCTCAAAATTAAAGATACTTCGGCCAGTAAATCTTTTTATTATCTTGATGTTTCGACAAAAATCTTTTGTCCTCGTCAGGACCCAACAAAAATTAAAACATTTAGCAAAGCGTTAAAAATTAAGGCTGCAAGGGCGTTGTACAATTTTTGAAATATTGCGTGAGAACGCCCTTGCAGCCTTAGAATAATTTTTAACGCTTTGCCAAATGTTTTAATTTTTGTTCGCTCCAGACGAGGACAAAAGATTTTTGTCGAAACATCAAGATAATAAAAAGATTTACTGGCCGAAGTATCTTCATTTTTGAGAGCTATATTACTAAAGACAAATTCTAGGCGCTTCATAGATTTTTTTTTAATGATATGTTCATGGAGTTAGATGGATCCCAGACTTCGAGATCCGTTCACATCTCTTGATGAATCCTAGTTCATAAGACCTGCTCACCGGATCTGAATGAACCAAGACCTCTAACCTATCTTATAGCCTAATGGTTTCTAGCCCTCAGTAGTTGTTTATTAAGTTTGACAGTTCTCGATCATAAAGTCCTGTTCTCTTGGCGTGACAAATCTAAGTACTCAGAACTTGCTTTAAAAGTAATCTCTGTTCCCAAGTCTGATTCACAGGGCAACACAGTTCCTAGTTAAAAAATGTACATTTTTGTTATAATATTGTAACGAAGAAAATTAGGGAAGACAAACTTCAGGATGACACGGCAATTTATTTAATGTAAGCACAAATTAAAACTAATGAAATTGCAGAGAGGCAATGAGAAATTTTACAGTGTATCAAAATACACATATCGAAATTAAAAAATCTTTTGATAGAATAATATATATATATAAATAGTCTGCTACAATATATATTGCTATATAATATATCATCTGTTTTTGAGAGAGATGGAAGAATTTATAAATAATGAATAATGCCTATATGTAATATAACCAATTCACATATACATACCCTTTACTTATCCTAATTTGCTTCTTTCAAATTTTTAATGTAGAATGTTTGATGGAACATCAGAAGTGAGTTGAATATATTCCTATTTAGAAACTTTATAAAGTCAATTGAATAAGCCCAATCTTACGGAATTGTTCTTGTACCTATGAGAGATAAAGAGAAATAATAATTAAAAAAAAACACCAGACATCAAATTTTTCAGTTGCAACTTCTCTGTTATTTCTGTGTTAAGTCCAGAGGAAATCATTTTATATACGTATTTTTGACTAATTAGGCATATTTTCGAAAAAAATATAATCAAATTTATATTTTATATTTGTTAGGAAACATGATAGATTCGTAGAAGAAGAGAAATATCCTTTATTACTTAAAGGTATAAAACAATAAGGAAGGACAAGAGATCAAACTATATGTACATCAGCAGCTCATACCGACCTGACCTATCCAATAACCACTAGCCTGCTAAGAATCCAACAAGGCCGAGATATATAGGAAGAGAAGTCAATTTGCATAGACAATACTAAAACTATGCAAATATCTGCATATCAAATATCGTAGAAATATCTGCAATTGTCAATTTCAACAGTAATTTATATTTGTGGTAATTCTAGGATATTTATATGATGTAATAGTATTATATATTTGCATATAGTTGTAATGTTGATTATGCTTATTTACATATCTGCCTATATATCGTAGCTTCGTTAGGTCAGTTTGTTAGGGTCTTGGAGAGGGCAGGTCGCTGAGCTGCTAGTATGTATTTTTATAATTTTATCTATAATATTATTTAAATTCTTTAATCTTTTGTCCTTATTGTCTATGAAATACCTTTTAATCTTCGTAATTAGCATTTCTTTTCTTTCCAGAATATATATCATTTCATAACAATATGTATATTGAATATTTCTCTCTTCGGCTTCATATTCATTTCAAATTGTAAATGTCAATATTCATGTTTTTACCTTTTTATATTTAGTTTCTGGATAGCTTTCATACATTCATATCAATTGTTATTGCAGTTATTTTCTAATTTCAAACGAGATCTGATTATTTCAAAATATGTTAAGCAAGAATTTAGTAAAAATTTGTTCGAGATAATTTTATTAAAAAGAGAATTTTTAAATATATTTTGTTAATGTGAAAATATCGTAATTGGTAGAAATGACACCCGATATGTTACAGTATCTTATGAAAAATACAATTAAATTTCATTGAGTTTCTATTAAAGTTTTATAAGAGATTATAAGAAATACCTGATAATAATAGTAATAATATTTCATTTTCTATATATTGTTCAAATATACAGTGCGGCCCTTAAATCTCGATGCAATTTCTTATTATATATGCTTTTAAAAATTTACATGGGGTCGGTGGAAGGATGGTC